TCACATTCCCATAAAAAAAAATAAAAAAAAATTCTGATCCGAGTTTTCTGGGGGGGTGGGGGCAAATCAAATTTGGGGCACCTCAGTATGTAATATGAAGGTAACTTATGTGTTTATTACTAAACTACTCAGGTGCTATAGGTGAACATGTCTCACCCCATGCAGACAGTATGAGCCACTGAGGAACTCCTTGATCAGCTGTTCATCTGTCAGACGAGAGATGTGAGTAGTGCCTACAGTGACTTGTGACTGCCCTCCAACAGTCATGGGTTTGTGTGTGGCAGTGAAGCCCTCTTCTCTCACCGGTGATACCTCCTCCTGTAATGTGTCAAAGAATGTATAAATGAATTGGGTGTTGTTGGTGCACGTATAACCATTTTCCCTCTCCGTCAACTTGTCGTGTATGTCTTACCTCTCTGGTCTCAGAGGTGGCACCGAAAGGTGGTTTAAGTTGCTCCTCTTGCTCCTTATCCAACTGGGCGAGTCGCTGAGGCCGCAGAGGGGAGCCTGCCAGAGCCTGGCAGAAGATGGCATTCACCGGGGAGGACTTGAACCTGCAAGGAATATACAGTATGTCAAGTGTGGCACCAATATGTTTTGACCAGAAATCTCACCTACAGAACCCTGATACAGAGGATGGTATTTCAAAATTTCCAACATCGACTATTCCTTTTAGCACAATATTTAAATATTGTCACTTTGACATATCTACCTATATTTCGGGTGAGCACAAAGCAGCGGTGTCAAAACCACCACCTCATATTCACACGTAGTGACCTCAGCAATAGACAAGATCTCATGCTTGGCCTCTGGATGACAGACGTAAAGCACAGACGCAGAGCGAGGCTCATCCTGTTTAAGCACACAAGGAGTCCCATTTCCCATCTCCAGCGAGTAGTAGGGAGTTAGCTGACCTTCTATATTCTTAGTGGGCACCTGGGCATCAGTGATTAGAGAAGACGGAGAAAACGGAAAAAAAGACAACAAATCTGAGATCTGACAGTAGGCTCAGCAAATGTGGCTGGTTACTGAAGCTTCAGTATTATACTTACCTCTGTTTCAGCTGTTGATTTGACATTTTCTACCTCAGCATTATCTGAAAATGAATTTATAGCTTTAGTACAATAACAAAAAATACACTTAGCAACATGTGACAAAATTACAAAAGCAAAAAGATATTGTAAAATTACAATGACAAAGAAAAACACCTGTCTCTGTCAACTGGCTCTTCTGGGCCATGTTCCCCAGGAAGTACTCTTGTACACTTATTTTCTGTGCAAACACAAATGATAGTACATACTATACTAAGTGCCAGCTTCTCATTTCTGTCATCTAAAAATTATTTTACCTACTCATAACACTCACCTGACCCGTCTCTTTCTCTTCATGATACTGTCTTACATGCTTTCCATGGCATACTTCATATGTCCAGTATGATTCAATCTGCAATGTTGGCAAGTCAAGAGTAAGTTTAGAGAAATGAGTGAGTCTTTAATTCACCTTCAGCGCTACCACAAAAAAATAAGTTCTTAGTTATGCTCTGCT